GCCATTCCTATGGGAAAACGTATATTTTTCGCATGTTCGCCTCTTGGGCTTTCGCCGCGTCCAAGACGGCCCAAGAGGCGCCCAAGACGGTCTACGAGGCCTCCGGGAGCGCTCCAAGGCTGCGCACGAGTGGCCCAGGACGGCCCCAAGGCGGCCCAAGAGAGCCCCAAGACGAGTTCGAGAGGGGTCCCAGACGGAGAAAGCCAACCTCGAATTCCGAGCTTCCGGCCCAAGAGGCTCCAGGAGGCGCCAAAATGCCGCCAAGAGGCGCCAAAAGGCTCCCCAAAGCACCCCAAGACGTTCTGAGAGGCACCCCAAGAGAGGTCCAAGAAACAAAAATCGTGCCATTCCGATGAGAAAACGTATAGTTTTCGCATGTTCGCCTCTTGGGCTTTCACCGCGTCCAAGACGGCCCAAGAGGCCTCCAAGACGGCCTAGGAGGCCTCCGGGAGCGCTCCAAGGCTGCGCGCGAGTGGCTCAGGACGGCCCCAAGACGGCCCAAGAGAACCCCAAGACGACTTCGAGAGGGGTCCCAGAAGGAGAAAGCCACTCGAATTCCGAGCTTCCGGCCCAACACATCCCAGGAGGCGCCAAAACGCCGCCCAGAGGCGCCAAAAGGCTTCCAAAATCAGCCCAAGACGTTCCGAGAGGCACCCCAAGAGAGGTCCTAGAAGCAAAAATGGTCCCATTCCTATGGGAAAACGTATACTTTTCGCATGGTCGCCTGTTGGGTTTTCACCGCGTCCAACACGTCCGAAGAGGCTCCCAAGACGGCCTAGGTGGCCCCCAAGAGAGTTCCAAGACGGTTCACGAGGCGCCCAGGACGGCAAAATTGGACTACAAAATGGCCTAAGAGAGCCCCAAGGCGTGCCCGAGAGGGGTCCCAGAGGGAGAACGCCACTGTAGAATTCCGAGCTTTCGGCCCCAAGAGGCTCCAGGAGGCGCCAAGAGAGCTCCAAGAAGCCCCCACGAGAGACCCATGACGCCCCAAGAGGCTCCAAAGGCGGCCCAAGAGAGCCCCAAGATGGGCCCGAGAGGGGTTCCACGCAAGTTGTTATTGTATCGCTCGGGAAAGGACGAGGATGAGGAGGAAGACGAGGAGGAGGAGGAGGAGGAGGAGGAGGAGGAGGAGGAGGAGGATTCCTGGGTCTGTGACTCGACAGAACCTAAGCGCGCGCGAAGCGCGCGCGTGGTTCTAGTAATAATGTAGCACAATACAACATGTAGCAATTATGCAATAATTGGTTACATTGGATACGTTGCACTCTAGCCTCCGCGGACCTGCCTCCGGCAACACGTCACCTCCGGACGTGGATTCCTCTCGCTTCGCGGGGTGCACGTCCGGAGCACGTAGCGACTGGGCGTCGGGTGGTTTCTCTTGGGCCGTTTGGGGGGCCTCTTGGACCGTCTTGGGTGCCTCTTTGGGGCGTCCTGGGGCCTTCTTGGGCCGTTTTGAGACCCTCTTCGGAGCGTCCGGGGCCTTTATGGGGCCATTTTGGAAGCCGTTTGGGCGTCTGAGAGTCGAAAAAAGGCGAGGACGCTAAAATCATATATATATATATATATATATATATATATATATATATACATATACATATATATATAGGATAATCAATGATTTTGGCTTCTGGAGGCGCAGTTGTGGGCGCTCGTGGGGCCAGAGGGCGACGGGGCCCAAATCACAGATTTTCCATAGGTTTTGGTTGGATGTTGTAGGTTTTTGAGGCGCAGGAGGGAGGGGCCACTTTGGGTCGGCGGAAGTGGCGTGGCCCCTTGGGGGGGGTTAGGGGGGGTACATAAGAATGTAGCACAATACAGCATGTAGCAATTATGCAATCATTGGATACGTTGGATACGTTGCATTATAGCCTCCGCGGACATGCCTCCGGCAACACGTCACCTCCGGACGTGGATTCTAAAAGTGTACGCCACATCCGCCAACCCCTTGAACCAGAGGGAGGGGTACTGGGCCATCCGCATGCGGCGAGCCTCTGGAAAGTTTCCATGTACGTCCCGGCGGTGTCGCGGGAGATCTTCGGTCGTCGAATGGATCACGTGGTGTGCTTCGGCTGTCTGGGAGGTCCTGAAGTGTTCTTGGGCTGCCTTGAAGGTCGCTTCAAGGTCAGGGCTCTTGAAGACAGGACACTGCAGACCAGGACTTTGAAGATTCCACCTGGAGAGAACACAGGATGGAGAATAGTTCGACCCGCGGCTGCGGTTTCCTCGGGCGCGCAAGTGCCCTGGCTCATCAGAGTCCCCGCTTACGGGCGGTCGCGAAGTCTTCGGGACCGCGGATTGAGAGAAACACGTCGTCTGGGGTCTGGGGCCAGGGCCATCCTGCCGGGTGCCGCTGGAAGTCCCTAGGGTTTCCGAGGAGGTCCCCACGGCCTCCAGAGAGCCCCTCACGAGGCCCAGAGGGCTGCAGGGGTTCCAAACCAGCTCCAGGGGCACCTTTCGAAGACGAAAAGCCCGCGTAAACAGAAAGTTTCGGCGCTCCGCGCCGCTGGGCGCCCTCGGCGGCGCCTCCCGCGCCGCCCCTGGCGCGCTCCGCGCGCCAGGAAGGGCCCAGCGCAGATCCAAGAAACCCGCGCGGAGCGCCAAAAAGTTATGCTTATAGCGTTTGTTCGTCTTCTAACCTTGGGCCAGGGGCACCTCTACAGTCGAGTTGGATGAGTAGGTCGACCCTGCCCAAACAAGGGTACCCTTATCTCCCGTGCTTCGCGACACATGCCCTCCTATGTTCCACTGGCAACGTGGCCATCGGAAGGGTCTCGTGTCCTCCTCGCGTGTCCTCTCCAGTCCACCCCGACTGTAGCAGCACCCGATCCTCAGGATGTCGGCACGAACGAAATGGGCACGGAAAGAATGGGTACAATGCCCAACAGCAGTTCCTGCTCATTTTGAACAGGACTCGCTGTCGGTGTCGCCGCGGTCTGTGTCCATTTGAAACAGAAGGCCGCCTGCCCAACAGCGGCCGCTGTTGGTTTGGGGCAAGATTTGTTGTTGGGCACTGTACCCATTCTTTCCCCACCTATTTCGGGCGTATCCTGGGCCCCGGGACTCACCACCCACCAAACCGCCCCAACCCATCCCGAAGGCCTCAATTTGCCCTCCATCTCCAGTGGGGGAGGGGGGGGTCGGCGAACATTTGGAAAAACACACAGAAGCCGTACCCCCCCCAACCCGAAATGCGGGCGAAATTCGGGTCTCGTCGGGTTGGGCTGGGGTGGCTTATGGCAGGCAGTCCAGAGGGACGGAGAGAGCGCGTTCACTGCACTGCGGCAGGGCCCTCCCGGCCGAGGCTCGGGCCGGACGAAAGGGGGGGGGGGATTGAGAAAGGGGGGGTTACGAAATCTGCTGCGTGCAGCTGGTTTCGGCCCCGCCGCCGAGCCCATTCCTCGACACGTGGCCGCCTCCGGCGCTGGGAGACGCCGGGAAAATCAGTTATAGGTGAGCTGCTTCTCAAACCCCTGGCATCGCTCGGACGTGTGCGTTTTTTTTCCTTGGCGAGGACCATCGAGGAGCATTCTTGATCACTTGGCGAAAAAGCCACGCACGAAACCGACAAAAAAACACAGGGAATGGACGTCCGAGCGATGGCCAGAACCCCCTTTTTGCTGTCCCCCCCTCTTCGCCCGATCCCCGAGAGGCGCGACGAAGAGGGCCGCGCTCCACGCGCCGCGGCCTCTGGGGGCCGCGGGGGCTGCCCTTATCTCGCGGGGGGGCGGCGCGAGGGCGCGGCGACGACCCCGTCGCGCGCGAAGCCAGACCCCCAGAGAGGCTCGGGCCGGACGAAAGGTGGGGATTGGGAAAGGAGGGGGTACGAGATTTGCTGCATGCAGCTGGTTTCGGCCCCACCGAGGGGCCCAGTCCTCGATACATAGCCGCCTCCGGCGCCGGGAGGCGACGGGAAAATCAGCTACGTGAGCTGATTCTCAACCCCCCCTTGCTATCCCCCCCTTTCGCCCAGCCCGAGAGGCATGGAAACGTCACGACGGGAGGTGTTTCGTCCTGTGCGGCGCCCGGGGGGCCCTTGCTGCGCCGCGGGGCCGTCCAAGAACGACTCGGGATGAAGAGCCGGTCCCCGGGAGTGGGTCTGGACCTCTGGGGGTCGCGGCGTGGCAAAGTCATGACGTCGGGGGAGGAGGAGGAGGAGGAGGAGGAGGAGGAGGAGGAGGAGGAGGAGGAGGAGGAGGACCTGCAGTCCACCCGCACCGTACGGATGAGCCGCTTTCCAAGGTCACCCTTGCACCCTTCCCCGTCGGCCCATCCTTGGCCGCTTTCGCTGGCCGCGCCCCGCTCGCAAAGTGTAGGCGTGGCCTCCCTTGGGCCCTCGTATCCTTGTCGCGCGTCCTTTCTTGTGCTGGTCGACTGCACAGATGTGCCGTGCGGGGGCCCAGGAAGGCCCACTATCGGGCACGGCGGCGAGGAGGATCGGACGGGACAAGGACGAGGGCAAGCCCGTTCCAGAGCGTTCCGGAACGCTCTCGGAGCGTTCTGGAACGCTCCGAGAAGGCCGCGGCGCCCAGACCATCTTCTAGAGCCACCGGATCTAGAGATTCCCGATTCAGTTGGCGCGATACATGGGAGGGCAACGAGGGCTGCAGAGAAGATCCCCTTGAGGGCCCCTGAATGAGCCCTGTAGGACCCAAAAGGAGGGTTTCGGGGCTCTCACAGGGCACCTCTCTTCCCCTCCACTTAGCCCCCCCATCAGTTCACGCGCATGTGTATCCCAAGCCGATTTTATCCCCACCCAATAGATCCGCCCAGAGATTCTCGATTTATCCTGGCATCGCTCGGACGTGTGCATTTGTTCTCGGAGGGGACCATCGGGTCATTTTTCAAGAAAGCGCAAAAAGGCGAAAAAACGCACGTGGGCTGGACGACCGAGAGATGGCGAGTTACCACCGCCCGATGTTACAGTCAACCCGCACAGGAAGGATGGGCAACCTTCCCACGGGTACCCTTGCATCCTTGCCTCCTCGGTCCATCCCTGGCCAGTTTCGTGGGCCGCGTGGTGCTCGAGAAGCTTTGACATGGCCCTCCAAGGCCCCTGCATCCTCCTCGCGCAACCCTGCCGTACTGGTCGACCGTCGTCCTCGTCCTGGTTCCGCCTCGAGGAGGACGCCGAGGAGCAGCAGGGGTGCCGCGGAGGCGCCGAGGGCGTGTGCTGGCAGGCCCTCATGCAGCGCTTCCCCTCGCTCCTGGAGCTCTACCCGGGCGCCGCGCTGAGCGACAGCGAGGGCGAGGAGCCGGAGGCCGAGGCCCCCGAGGCTTTGGGCCTCCTCCTCCTCCTCCTCCTCCTCCGCCTCCTCCGCCTCCTCGGGCGAGACATCTCGGCGGCGAGCGAGGGGGGGGGGGAGTGAGGAGGAGAGGACCTTTCAGAAGGAGGCGGGACTCTCGCAGAAGCCCTCGTGCCTTTGAGAAAGTCTTCGGCGTCTTCGGGGGCAGGCGCAGGAGACTGGTCGGAAGGCTGGGGGCTTCCGAGCCTTCTGGGAAGGCCTTCTCCTTCTGACTTTCCCCCCGGGCTCGCCGCCGATCTTGGGCGTCGCGTAGTGGGGGGGGGCGATGAATGAAGGTTCGGCAGCGAGGGCTGCAGGAAAGGAGCCCTTCGGGGCCCCTAGAGGGGCCCGAGAAGTGCACCTTTCTTCCTCGCCCATTTCTTGATCGCCCCCCCCCCCCATTAAGTGACGCCCAAGGCTCAGAGGAGCAAGAGGTCCTGATGATGGCACGCTCCCAGGATGTTGCTCTGGGGTGTCCGAGGTCGTCTGATGCGGGGCCGCGGAGCTGAGGTCCGCCAGGCACTCCTCGAGAAGTCCTGGAACGCACCCACACCCGCTAAAGTCCTGGAAGCTATCCGCACTTCCTCGAAAGTCCTCGAAAGTCCTGGAAGCTATCCACACACGAACAGTCCTCGAAAAGTCCTCGAAAAGATCTGGAAGCTACCCGCACCTCTTCGCAGCGCCGACCCTTAAGGCCGGGGCCCCTTGCCCCGGAGGCCGGCTCTCTTCCTCCCGAGCCGTCTGGTCGGTGGCCCCGAGGCTTGGCAGGGGCCCCTGGAGGCCGAACACGGCGGACAGAGGACAGGACCGGCGTGGGCGGGTGGGGGGGGGGGTGGTTGGGGGGGGGGCGGGGGGGCAGTTGGGTAGGGTGGGGGGGGGGGCGTGGGGGGGCGGGGTGGGTGGGATTGGTCGTGGGGAGGGGGGGGGGGGGGGAGATGTGGGGGGGTGGGGTTCGTGTTGCGTGTCGCGGCGTGATGGGATTTGGTGTTGGGGGGGACCGGAGGGAGCGTGAGTAAGGCGGGTATGAGGGGGGGGGAGGAGGTTGCGGGAGCCGAGTTCTTAACAAAAAAGGCGGCGGGCAGGAATAAGGAAGATAGGGGGACCCGAGAGAGGGGAGGAAGCCAACCGAGGAGGAGGAAGGGAAGAAGAAGACGAAGAAGAAGAAGAAGAAGAAGAAGAAGCAAGAAGCAGCCATCAAGGGAAAGCAGATATAGCTGCTCGAAAGAAAGAAAGAACACAGCAACGAGCAACAGAAGAAAGAAGAAAGAAGAAAGAAGGGGAAAAGGGAAGCAAGAAGCAAGAAGAAGGACGAAGGACACGCAAGGCAGAAAGCAAGGAAGAAAGCAAGACAGAAGAAAAGCGGAAAGAAGATCGACGAAAGAAGCAACAGAAGAAAAGAAGAAAGGAAAGAAAGGCAGAACGAAGAAACGGAGAAGGACGCAGAAGCGGAAGGAAGAGCAAGAAGAGGAGACGTAACGCCAAGTCACGACGGCCGAAGCAGCAGCAGCGGCCTCCGCCTCCTTACCCCTACTGCCAACCCACCCCCATCTGTACTCCCCATCCTTTCCCCCCCTTGCTCCTACTCCCCCTTCCTGTAATCTCCTTCCTTTCACCCTACCTCCTCCTCCCCCCCCTCCTCCTCCCTCCTCATCCTTCCTCCTCCTCCTCCTCTTCCTCTTCTCCTCCTTCCTCCTGCCTCCTCCTCCTCCTCCTCATGCCTCCTCCTCCTCCTCCCTCCGCCTCCTCCTCCTCCTCCTCTCTCCTCCCGTCCCAGAGGCGGGCGCGGGCACGCCCCAGGAGCCCGCCGGGCAGCCCGCCGCGCGCTCCGGGGGCGGCTCCAGCGCCGCCACGCCGGCGCCCCCCGCCCCGGTGGCACCGCAGGGGTCGCCAGGCGGCGAAGGCATCGGCGACCACAAGCGAGGCATAAGATCAGAGACCCGAATCATCAGGGGTAACTCGGGTCAGGGCTAACTCGGGTTCGTTTTTCGGGAATCCGAACCCGAGTTGCCCCGGGCCCGAGCTACCCCGGATAACTCGGGCATCCAGAGCCCCAAATCATCAGGGATAATTCGGGTCAGGGCTAACTCGGGTTCGTTTTTCGAGAATCCAAGCCCGAGTTACCCTGGGCCCGAGCTACCCCAGATAACTCGGGCGCCCGATAAGAATCTGTACGAACGAGATGGGCGCGGAAAGAATGGGTACAGAGCCCAACAGCGGATATTGCTCATTTTGAACAGGGCTCGCTGTCCACGCCGCCGCGGCCTGTGTCCATTCGAGACAGAAGGCCGCCTGCCCAGCGGCGGCCGCTGGCGGTTTGGGACAACATTTGTTGTTGGGCATTGTACCCATTCTTTCCGTACCCGTTTCGGGCGTCCAAAAAGAAAATCGCGGCGGGAGGCGTTGCTCCACTCTCGGCCTCTGGAGGCCCTCACGGGAAGTTTTTCTCCGCTCTCGGCCTCTGGGGGCCCTCGCTGGGGAGGTTGCGCCGGGGCGTGGTTCGCGATCGGCGCCGTTGGGGCCCGTCGGACGGGGTTGGGACGAAGATTAATCTGTTCCAGAGCGTTCAGGAATGCTCTCGGAGCGTTCTGGAACGCTCTGAGAAGGCCGCGGCGCCCCAGACATCCCCCAGAGCCGCTGGACCTTAGAGATTCTCGATCTATCCCCACACGATCTTATCTTCATCCTGGTTTCGTCTCAGCTTGGGGGGCACAACACTGTAATGTCCTCGTCGGGTTCAGGGTGCCCCCAGGATGCCAAGAGCAAGCCACACCCTTTGCAAATGACACCCTTCGGAGTCGCCGACTAAAGGCCTCCCAAAAAGGGTTCCGAGCAGGTGGGGTCGGAGGATCGCGCCGGACCGCCGAGGCGTCGGAGATGTGGCTCGATGTGGAGCCCGATGCTCCCCATGCCGACGTCGCCGATGTTATCAAAGTGTCCTTGGCCCAAGGTGCCCCCAGCTTTTCTCTCAAGTTTGGCGCCCCTGGGGCCCTCGGGGCCTCGTGAGGGGTGCTCTGCAGGCCGTGGGGGCCTCCTTAGAAGTCCTGAGGGCACCTTGGGCCAGGGACACTTCTAGCAGCACTCGAGACGTCGCCGATGCATTGCCGCTGCACTGGTGATACAACAACGATGCGGCGCGATCTTCCGACTCCATCTACGCACTCTGACCCCATTTGGGAGGCCTCTGAGCGTCCAGGGAGCCATGGGGCATCATTAGCGGGGGACAGGTCAAGTCTGTCGGCTTGGAAGTTCGAGTTTCAAGGTTCTCGAAAGTTTTTGAAGGTCATCGACGGTTTTCAAGCCTCGGGTGCTCTCCAGCAGCTGCGCCTTGTAGCGTCCCAGGGGTGCCCAGATCGTCCCGAACGGCAGTCGGAGAGCCGAGTTATGACCCGAAAATTAAGGGGCAATGATCCTTTTGGCGGGGTAGGCGTGTGGTGTGTGTGTGTTGTGTGTGTTGCGCGATGTATGTGTGTGTGTGTGTGTGTCGTACGTACTGTGCGTGTTGACTGTGTGCTGTGTGGGTTGTCTGTGCATGTTGTGTGTTCTGTGTTGGAAGTATGTATTTTTACATGTGTATATATATATATATGTGTTTTTCTGTCGCGTGGGCGTTGCGTGCTGTGTGAAGTGTGACGTGTGCTTTGTGTGTGCTTGCGTGCCTGTGTGTGGTTGTGTGTGTGGTTGTGGTTGTGTGTCCGTGCGTGTCTGCCTGCCTCTGTCCTTGTGCGCCTGCGTGTGGACGCCACGGACGGGCCATGACACCTTCAGAAGCCCCCACGGGCCTCGTGGCTCTGGCGCTCTCCCTTCCATACACGCTCCTCGGCCTCCCCTCGTCCGCGCGCCTGCCTCGGGCCGCCGGTGCACCCGCGCCCCCCGCCCTTGTCTGGGCCCCCCTCTCCGCGGCGCCTCCCTCTCCTCCTCCTCCTCCTCTTCCTCCTCCTCCTCGTCCTCCCTCCTCCCTCCTCCTCCTCCTCCCTCCTCCTCTTTTCCTCCTCCTCCTTTCCTCATTCCTCTCCCTCCTCCTCCTCCTCCTCCTCCTCCTCCTTCCCCCTTGCCTCCCCTCCTCCTCTCCTCCTCCCTCCTCCCCTCCTCCTCCTCCTCCTCGCCCCGGCAGGCGCCGGCACGGCCCGGCCAGACCGAGCTCGCGCAGAGCTCCGGAGCTGGGCCGCGGCTCAGCAGGAGGCCCGGGCTTTTTTTTATGTTTTTACCTTTTTCTTTCTTTTTTTCTTCTTCTTTTCCTCTTTATCTCTTTCTTTTTCCAGATGGGGCCCGGGTGGACGTCGGCGGCGAGCTCACTCAGAGGGAGAAGAAGCTTAGGAGAATTGAGAAGGAGAAGGAGCTCAGGAGAATTGAGAAGGAGAAGGAGAAGGAGCTCAGGAGAACCGAGGAGAAGGAGGAGAATTAGAAGACGTCCAGTGGGGGGGGGATTGAGAAGGAGAAGGCCTTCTCAGAAGGCGGCGGGGCTTCTCAGAAGCCCTCGCGCCTTCTGCGAAGGGTGCTCTGTCTTCCAGGGAAAGGGCTCGGAAAACTTCACAGAAGTCTGGGGGACGTCCGAGCCTTCTGAGAAGGCCGGCCCCTTCTCACTTCCCCCCTGGCTCGCCGCCTCTAATGGGGTCGGAGGATCGCGCCGCATCGCCGATGCATCGCCGATGCGTCGCCGATGCATCGCCGATGCTCGAAGAAGAACAAACACTATAAACATAATTTGTGGCGCTCCGCGCGGATTTCTTGGATCCGCGCTGGGCCCCCTTTGGCGGCGCCTCTGGCGCCGCCCCTGGCGCGCTCCCCTGCCGCGCTCCGCGCGCCAGAGGGTGGGGCCCAGCGCGGATCCAAGAAATCCGCGCGGAGCGCCAAAAGTCTATGTTTATATTGGTGCATCTTCTTCTTCCAGACACATCGGCGATGCGTTGGCGATGCGGCGCGATCCTCCGACCCCACCCAGTCGGACCCCATGTTGGAGGCCTCTGAGAGGTCGACCGGGCGCGGCGGGCGCTGGAGCAGCGCGAGAGGGACGTGGCCCAGCGCGAGTGCGCCGCCGCGAGGGTCGAGAGGCGCCAGGCCCTTGCTGCGCGGCGGCTCGAGGAGCTGCGGCAGCGGCTGGACGAGTACGGGGAGGACATCGGGGCCAACGACAGGGGGGGATGGGCACAGGGGGGGACGCATCGACCCCCAATCGCCCACTGATCGCCGACAGGGGCCCGATGGCCCCAACCTGGCCGGGAAGGTGCAGAGTCACTCTCGGAGGCCCATCGCCGATTTCTCGGCGACGTATCGCCGATGGTTCCAGGTCGGTGCATCCCGCCCTGTGCCAGTCCCCCCCCCTACCGCTGCCCCATCGGGACAGGGGGGCCCCCGATGCGCCGCGCCCACTCCTGGGGTCGGGTCGGGCATGTCCCTCTAGGGGAGGGACCTGCCAAAAGAATCAAAAAATTGCTTGGGGACAGTTTTCGGACTATTTTTCCCAACCATCCTGTGGTGTTGGGTCCTCGTTTTGAAGAGACGGTGCCCCGCGTTCCTCTCCTCTCCTCTCCTCTCCTTTCCTCTCCTCTCCTCTCCTCCTCTCCTCCCCTCCTCTCCTCCTCTCCTCTTCACCCACCCAGTACACCGCTTCGTGGCTCCATAGGGAGCTCCACCGAAGGCCCCAGTGCCCGCGCCCGCATGCGTCACACACACCCATTTCGGCACACCCCTCACACGCTTCGTGGCTCCATAGGGAGCTCCACCGAAGGCCCCAGTGCCCGCGCCCGCATGCGTCACATGCGTCACCAAACCCATTTCGGCAACCCATAACACGCTTCTCCAAACGACGGCCCCAGTGCGCCGCCCGCATGCGTCACCCACACCCATTTCGGCACACCCCTCACCGTTTCGGGGCTCGCTACTTTTTTGTCTCTTCTCTTTATTCTTTATTTCCATAGGAGCTCCACCGAAGGCCCCCAGTGCCCGCGCCGCCATGCGTCCCACCCACACCCAATTCGGCACACCCCTCACACGATTCGTGGCCCCATAGGGAGCTCCGCCGAAGGCCCCAGTGCTGCCGCCCGCATGCGTCACCCACATCCAATTCGGCACACCCCTCACACGTTTCGTGGCCCCATAGGGAGCTCCGCCGAAGGCCCCAGCGCTGCCGCCCGCATGCGTCACGCACACCCAATTCGGCAAACCCCTCACACGTTTCGTGGCCCCATAGGGAGCTCCGCCGAAGGCCCCAGTGCTGCCGCCCGCATGCGTCCCGCACACCCAATTCGGCACACCCCTCACACGTTTCGTGGCCCCATAGGGAGCTCCACCGAAGGCCCCAGTGCTGCCGCCCGCAAGCGTCCCGCACACCCAATTCGGCACACCCCTCACACGTTTCGTGGCCCCATAGGGAGCCCCACCGAAGGCCCCATGGCTGCCGCCCGCATGCGCCCCGCACACCCAATTCGGCACACCCCTCACACGTTTCGTGGCCCCATAGGGAGCCCCACCGAAGCCCCCAGTGCTGCCGCCCGCATGCGTCACGCACACCTAATTCGGCACACCCCTCACACGTTTCGTGGCCCCATAGGGAGCCCCACCGAAGGCCCCAGTGGCGGCGCTCACATGCGCATGCGTCCCGCACACCCATTTCGGCACATCCCTGACAGGTTTCGTGGCCCCATCATCCACCAGAGGCCCCAGTGGCGGCGCTCACATGCGTCACCCACACCCACCCAATTCGGCACACCCCTCACACGTTTCGTGGCTCCATAGGGAGCTCCACCGAAGGCCCCAGCGGCCGCGCTCACATGCGTCCCGCCACCCATCCCGGCACGCCCCTCACAACAACAGGTTTCGTGGCCCCATGGGGAGCTCCACCGAAGGCCCCAGTGCTGCCGCCCGCATGCGTCACCACCCGCACCCAATTCGGCACACCCCTCACACGTTTCGTGGCCCCATAGAGAGCTGCACCGAAGGCCCCAGTGGCGGCGGTCACATGCGTCCCCGCCACACATCCCAGTACACCCCTCACGCGCTTCGTGGCCCCATAGGGAGCTCCACCGAAGGCCCCAGTAGCGGCGCTTACATGCGTCTCCGCCACCCATCCCGGCCCCCCCCCGCAGCAGCATCATGTTTCGGGGACCCATAGGGAGCTCCACTGGAGGCCCCAGTGGCGGCCCGCACATGCGTTTCCGCCACCCATGTCGGCACGCCCCGCGCGTGTTTCATGTCCCCATAGGGAGCTTCGCCGAATGCCCCAGTGGCACCTATCTCGGCACACCCCTCACACGTTCCGTAGTCCTATGGGGAGTTCCATTGAAGATGAAACCCGCAGCTGCGGTACTGACAACTGCATATGGTTGGGTTCTACGCCAGGCTA